CGTGTTTGTGTGTGTGTGCGTGTTTGTGTGTGTGTGTGCGTGTTTGTGTGTGTGTGCGTGTTTGTGTGTGTGTGCGTGCATATGTGTGTGTGTGTATATGTCTGCGTGCGTGTTTGTGTGTGTGTGTGTGAGTGCATGTTTGCATGCGTGTGTGCTCGTGTGTTTGCATGTGTGTGCGTGCATATGTGTGTGTGAGTGCACGTTTGCATGTGTGTGTGTGTATATGTCTGTGTGCGTGTTTGTGTGTGTGTGCGTGTTTGTGTGTGTGTGNATGTGTGTGTGTGTATATGTCTGTGTGCGTGTTTGTGTGTGTGTGCGTGTTTGTGTGTGTGTGTGCGTGTTTGTGTGTGTGTGCGTGCACGAGTTTGCGTGTGACTCAGCCACTGCAGTAGGGCTCCCAGGGTAAAGCATGGAGCCCCCGCTGTCTGGCTCTCTGCCTCTGTCTCTCAGCCTTGCAGGGGGGGCCGGCCTTCCCCTTGCCTCGGCCCTGCTGCTTCTGGAGGGCCCCCCCCTTGGGCTCTGCTCCACTCCGCTTCCTCCTCCACAGGAAGTGCGGGCCTGTTTCTTCACAGCCACAGTACCCGTCTGCTACAGCAGATCGGCGGCGGGGGACTATTAAAGCAACCATGCTGTCCTGTCTAATTTGCTCTCTTTTCCACCCTCTACGTGCTCCCTGCCCCTGCACTTCAGATTAATTGTCTTCCCTTGCTGTCCCTGTAGGGGGCACTGGTGAGTGCCTTGGCAGATGACAGCATTCACCTCTGGAACCTGAGACAAAAACGACCTGCCATTCTTCACTCTCTCAAATTCAACCGGGAACGGTAAGGCAGCTTTCCTTGTCGCCTGCCCTCTGTGACCTTTGACCCCTATGCTGTACCCCTCCATTCTGCCAGCCAATTGGAGCCTGGTTTTTTGAAAATTAGAACCTGTTTCTTCTTCACGACAGCTCTCCATTCCACATGATAGTTTTCCAGATGTGTGTTTATGTGTGTGTGTGTGTGTGTGTGTGTGCGCACATGTGTGCACGTGCACACTCATTTCCGCACACACCCAGGTGATCTCTTGAACACACGCACCCAGCCCTCAGTATGAGGCCCAGACATTGTCTACAGAGGCAGAGAAGAGCCCCCCCCTCTCCCCTTGCCCAACCAGACCCCCAGTCCGTCACTCTGCCTGGGGACGCCGGTGTCATTCACCAGCATGTTGGAACCCGTCCTGCGTGGCTCTTGGCCTGTGCCAGCTGCTCCTGCTGGAACGGCCGTGAGGAGCTTATCATGTTACTGTTATGTAAATAGGTTTCAGGATGGTTAAGGAATTGATGAAGGACACCAGGTTCCCCCGGCACTGTGAGGCTTCTCCTCTCCTGGACTCTGAGCCGATGTCTCACCGTCTTTGGGTAAATTTATGCGATGTGTCCTGTTAGAACATCCGGCAGAGGCGCAGTCAGTGACAACATACGTCCCTAGAGACTAAACGCTTAACGTTTGTGACATAAAGATTTCCAGAAGGGGGTTCTAGTATTTACGGAGCCCACGTTGTGGAAAAAAAGGGCGAAACTCGAGCACATTGATTTGGGCTGCCCTGCATTTTATGGGCGGGTCCAGCCTCAAACTCCGCCCCTTGGCTCTGCCCTCAATTTGCTCAGCCCTCACCTCCACTGTGAAGCGGGGGCTGGCATGCAGATCCTTGCTGCCGCCACCGGACGGGCATTGTAGCCTCTGGCCCATTTTTATTCAGCTAAAGGAGTGTGTGCAGCTCTGCCACTTCCTGTTCTGTCTAAGTGATCTTTCTCACCTCCGTGCTGTGGTTTCTCTATAGATATGTCTGGGTGGCTTAATGTTTGGGCCGCTTCCCTCGCAGGGAGCAGCGTGATGATACAGGAAGCAGGAACTCTGTCTTAATAGCCATGACTGTTAAGAAGCTGTTTCAGATATTAATCCACCTTCTGAGGGGCATCAAGCCTATCCCAGGCCCTACAAGGCGGCGTAGGGACAAAAGCCAAAGGTGGAGAGCTTTGCTGTTGGGGGCTTTTGTCAGTCCTTGGCCCCGTTTTTTCGTCCGTTTGACGCTCTGCAGTCGGAGTTGGGTTACGAGGGACCGTGTGATCAGGCTGGATAGTGCAGGCCTTCCTTAAATTAGCACATGGCAAACATTCATCTTTATAGTCAGGAGCTTGTTTTGCTCCCCCCACCCCACCCAGCACCCAGTGAAATATAGCCCCTTGATCATTCGATTGATTTTTAATTAAAAACGTTTCTTTGAGTTGTTGATAGTCCACAGTTTGCGACTCGGCGAAAACTGGCCCACAACCACCACCCCATCCCCCCCCC